AGATCCCATCTCGCTACATTTTCAAAAAAAAAAAAAAAAAAAAAAAAGAAAAAAAATTCCTGCCCCGAGACTCATTCGTCATCGTGAGGAGCGCATTCCCGGCACAGAAGAGGGCAAATCGAGAGTGGTGCAGCCGACATGTAAAAAAGATACGCTCCGAATTCAAGAGCCGCTTACTCTTGCCAAGAGTTGGCAACACTTGCCAACGAGAGTCGCCAAGAGTTGCTCGCTCGAAAAAAAAATCTCGTAGGCTTCCACATTATTTCCGGAGAATTCCGGAATGCAGGAGGCTCAAGGCCCTCGTCACTCACCGTTAGTGAGCTTCTATAAGCATTTTTGCAAACCCAACTACATTTTTAAAAAGTCCCCGAGCATTTCACTCGTTCGCAACAGCAATTAAGCGAGAGTATTGGCAAAAGGTAAATATCTCCCCCCCTCCCCCCAAACCGTCCCCCTCCCTCCCCCCCATGACATATTTAGGAAATATTTCCCCGGGGAAAATTAATTTAATGAATGGACTGATTGGCCTCCTTGTCGACTGTCTCCGATCTTATCCGTTCGATCACTTGAAAGAGTTGTCACAACGATGGACGAGGAAACAGGTAGGTCCACCCGTCGGCACGTCTCGCGTCGAACCTCCCCCGATGACGTCACCCCCTCGGCACCCCCCCCCCCCCCCCCCAGTCTTTCCCCCTTCCCTGCCTCCGGAGAGAGTGAAAACCTCCTCGACCCACTTCTCAGCGAGGCAGTCGAGGCGCGGATGTGGAGGGCGTCGGATCGGGGATCCCGGCGCGTCCCGTTGCCGTGACCTCGTCTTCGTTGTTTTCGGTGACGTTTTGTGGTGTGGTCGCTTCTCCGTGCGTGGTTCTTAGTCCTTTACTATTTTATTAGACCATTTTGGTTACCTGAATTTTTTATTATTTCATTTTTATTTTTATTTTACACGTTTCAATTGTTTTTAGCCTTAGAAAATTTCATACGTTCCTCGAATTAATTGGAGGGATGATTAATAAGAGAACGCTGATGGCAGTGCGATTGGCCAATTTTTTTGCCGATTTACTTAGGCGCATTCATTTGGCGTGACCTCTGCCATTGCATTTCCTGTGAGGCCACCGGGGGATGGGAAAAAAAGGGGGTTCAACGGTCGTGCGAGCTAATCACAACCCAAACGCGGCACGACCCACAATTTGATCGGCATTTGATCGTCATCGGAACGAGGAATGCGCTGAAAACGGCATGACGTGAGCACGTGACCATGCCAACCTCAACGGTCAGAGCAGGCATGCAAGTATATGGAAACATCGCATCTGGGAAAAAAAAAAGAAGAGCTTTTGCTACTATTCCTTGCAACGCAACTGTGTGCCAATCGCAGCCGGTTGAGGGAAACCCTTCACTCATCTAACCTCGACTAATTGAGGGGAAATGAATAGAGCCCATTCTTGATTCTAGCACAAACCGTGACTGAAAATCCGAGATGAATAATTTTTCGTTAAGTCACTGTAGCTCAACTGTATGAACTGTTTGCGCTCCCCCCTCTTCCCCCCTCTCGTCACCTCCGCCCCCCTCTTCCCCCTGTCTTTCCGGCGCCGGATTTCGCTTCTCCAGCTCG